TCTGTTACAACCAGGGCGTCACTGACTGATGTGTTTCACTCATTCAGGCTTTTTCTTAGCCAGATCTGACATTGCTCCAGGGTGTTGGATGAAGTATTTATAGGGATTTGGGTACTTCGCCAGGTCACAGTATTTGGAATCTGGGTCTCTACACTGCCTGGACAGGCATTGATTGCACGCTGAATAGCCAGGAGACCTGGGTGTGTATATTCCTCACATAGGCTAGAGCCAACGTTTTGTGGTTATTGCTGAGTTAATATAGCAAAGCATGTGGCATCACAGGAACATAAGGATTGCCAGATCAGAACCACGGTCCATCTAATCCAGTCTCCTGTCCCTGACATCAGCCAGCTCCAGATCCATCACAGGAAGTGAAACTGCCTTGTGTGGAAGTAAAACCCCAACCCAGTGCCCAGGGAAGTCGGTTGGAGTCACCGGAGCAGGCTATAATGGAATACGCAGCTGTGGGGTGTCTCTACCTCGCCCTGAGGCCTTGAAGCAGGAGAGGTTAGATTCCTCTCTTTTCTTTAACCCGTCTCAAGATGTCCTCATAATCCATATAAATGGGCAGTCTTCTCTGAGCCCTGCATAGCCCTTAGCCTCAACAGTGGCAGAGAGTTCCCCAGGTTAATTAGATATCATATGTCTGTGACATTGCACTCCATATGCTTTATGGAAATATGCTTATGAATATGACATAACTGGAATATGCTTTATGCTAAATACCCCTTGTATGGTGTCATTAGAAAGCTTGTAATCTACTAAATGTATTCATCCTATTTGTTTGCATGCATTATTTCTCTATCTGGAGACAGGAGAATAAGAGATAAACTTGTATCACTGATGTGAACATGTTAAGTGGAGGCCATTAAGGGCGCTCCAGAAACAATCCGTTGTAAATGGCCTTAGATACTTGAAAGCCTCCCTGTGTACGTGTGGGGCAGCCCATGGGGAATGGAGACTAGGGGTCTTACAGGGACATGTGACCATGTCACCTGGTACTGGAATCCATCTTCAATCTGGCACTTTTCCATTTAGAAGGAGGGGTGGGGACCCAGAGAGACAAAAGATTCCCGCCTTGTGCCAAAGCTATAAAAGGGGGTGGAGCAGGACAAAAGAGGTGGCCAGTCATGAGAGAGCCCCTGCTTACCATCAGAGATGTCTGCTGGAGCTAACAAGGACTGTACCAGGTGAAAGGATTGGGCCCAGACTAGGAAAGAATCTAGTCTGTGAAAGAAGCTTATTGGAACATCTGAGGGTGAGATATTACCTGTAATCAGTTTCTTAATGTATTAGGCTTAGACTTGCGTGTTTTCGCTTTATTTTGCTTGGTGACTTACTTTGTTCTCTCTGTTATTACTTGGAACCACTTAAATCCTACTTTTTATACTTAATAAAATCACTTTTGTTTATTAGTAAACCCAGAGTACGTGATTAATACCTGGGGGAGCAAACAGCTGTCCATATCTCTCTATCAATGTTATAGAGGGCGAACAATTTACGAATTTACCCTGTGTAAGCTTTATACAGAGTAAAACGGATTTATTTGGGGTTTGGATCCCATTGGGAACTGGTTGTCAGGGTGCTGGAGAGGTAACCTGCTGAGCTGTTTTTGGTTAAAGTCTGCAGCTTTGGTGGCGTGGCCCAGACCCTGAGTCTGGGTTGCAGCAGGCTAGCGTGTCTGGCTCAACAAGGCAGGGTTCTGGAGTCCCAAGCTGGCAGGGAAAATGGGCTCAGAGGTCATTTCAGTACATCAGGTGACAGTCCCAAGGGGATCCCTGTGACCGAATGTGACGAAGTGGGACTGTTCTTAATGTTTCCTCTGAATACTGTGTGGGTGCCTCAGTTTTTTGGCCGACCCTCTGTTGCCTAGCAACTAATGGCCAGGCCCTTCCCGCCCTGCAAGGGGATGCTAAAGGTGTGGGAGAACAAAGAGGTCAGGTGACCTCCTGGCCCGGGAAAGAGACAAAGCCCAGAGGAGGAGGGGCTGGAGGGGATTTGAGTTGGAGCTGGCTGTGGCTGGGGACGGGGAGTGAGGGCAAACGGGTTGTCTGACTCTCTGAACCCCATAATGGACCCGGCCGAGGGGTCCCGTTCGCCGCTGTACCTACAAGCTCTGTTTTAGACCGTGTTCCTGTCATCTAATAAGCCTCTGTTTTACTGGCTGGCTGAGAGTCACGTCTGACTGCAAAGTGGGGGTGCGTGCAGGACCTCTGGCTTCCCCAGGACCCCACCTGGGCGGACTCGCTGTGGGAAGCGCACAGAGGGGCATATGCTGAATGCTCCAAGGTCAGACCCAGGAGGTGAAGACGTGTGAGCTTCTTGCCCTGAAGACGGTCTGCTCCGAGGGAGAGGAGGCTCCCCAAAGTCCTGACTGACTTTGTGGGGAGCAGTTCCAAAGCATCGCCCGGGGACTCCGTGACACCGAACCCATCACAATGTCTGTGATCAGTTCATATCTTTTCCCCATCCTGGTGTGGGCTCCAGCCTGCCTGTGGGAGGAGGGGGTTAGCGTGGCTGCACTGCAGCGCTGGTCTGGTCCAGCGTGGAAGCGCCTTGGTTTCTGTGTGGGTGTATGTTGGTCCCCGCGTTCTCTGCTGTAGGTTTGCTGGGTGGCCTCGCGCTGCCATAGCAGGATGCTGTATCAAGTATTGCCTTCCCCAGGGGTTTCTCCAGGCAGGAGGAACATCTTCCCTCCCTCTCTGTGCTCGCTTCCATCGCCCTCCCGCCCTTCCCTCCCTGGCCCCCAGTTCTCACGTCCTGGGGTCCTGCTTTTGTCAAATTGAACATGATGTCAAATTAGAGCCATCACAGGGACAGTCAGAGTGAAGCACCCTGGTTAATGAGACAGCGTTGGAAATCAATAACTTAATTGCAACCATTTGATGGACTTTTATCCAATTTACACTCCTCCGGCCCTGCTACGTGTGGTGCATGAGGACGCCGCTGGCGTGTCTGGGTCGGAGAGAGGGAGGGAGCAGGCGGGATGGCAGTTCTACTCCCCCTGCATATCTCTGTGCTAAAGCATGCTGCCTGCTGTGGAAGATGCTGTAGCAGCAGCCCTAGGTTTGAAGCCCCTACTTAGCCCCAGGACACAGCCCAGGCAGCAGCCATGTTCTCCTCACACTTGCTCTGGGGGGCCCCCTTAGGCTGAGGGAGGGGCCCAGCCTCCATGGCCCCTTTCATCCTGGCAGTATGCCAAGAAAGGGGCAGTGGGGATGGTGATGCCTGTTCCCCTAGAAGCCGGGGGAGACCCACACGGAACAGTCACCCCATCTGGGAAGAGTGTCCAGGAGCTCCCATCTTCTGCTGGGCTTAGCCCAGGGGTCTAGTGGTGAAAGGTATCGCATCCCATTACCAGCCTCAGAGCCCTCCCACAGCCCAGCCCTTCTTGGCCTTACACGCAGAGAGGAGAGCATTCCCTAGGATCAGAGATCCCAAGGCCAGAGGGGACCTCTTGCAGACATAGCCCCTGCCTGGAGGGCCATGCCTGCCCCAAGTTCCCTCCTTTGGAGCCCCCAGAAATAATCGGAAGTACCTTCCAAGTATAAATATAGCCCCTGGGGGGGTCATTATGAAAGTCCCATGCACATAAATCATAACAAAATCTCTCAACCATAGTCCAAAATTTCCTTGGCATAGTCCAAACAGCACATGCAACATGCAGCCCTGGCGTCCCTCTGTAGGCCACGGCTCTCCTCTCCTTCTACCAGGACAGCAACTCCAGCGCTGCCAGCGAGAGTGGCACCCTGCTCTTCCTAGGGGAATCCGCACTTTGCTGGCATCTCACCTGAACCAGGGGAGCATCCCTCACTCCCCGGCCCCCTCAGGGGTCTTCTAGCTCCAGCTCTCTTGCACTGGAGACGTCAGCAGGTCGGCTCCTCCGCTGCTCCCCTGCCTTTGGCCCTTGGCTTTGACTCTGGCTTACAGCCAGCAGGCATCTCTCTCTGCTGCTCCTCCTCCCCCCGGGCTGTCTGGTTTGGGGACACCAGCCAGCAAACCCTTCTTGCTGTTCTCCTACCTTCAGCTCGGTCTCCTCCGGGTCCCAGACAGTCTCTGCCAGCTCCTCATTCCCAGTCTGGCCGCTCTCTCCCTGTCTCTGTTTTGCCCTGGTCCTTTACAGCCCCGGGTGCTGCCCCACCCTCCTAATTAGCCAAATAGGAGCACTGTCCTGGCACAGGGGCCCTGGGATAACAGGCGGCAGGACGGTCACAAGTTAATTCCCGTGGGAACCAGAGCAGATTTCTCAGAAACACATCCAGTCTGGATTTTAAAATGGTCAGTGATGGGAGAATCCACCCGGACTTTTGGGAAGTTGTTCCAATGGTTAATTATCTTCATTTCAAGCATTTACACCTCATTTCCAGTCTGAATTTGTCTAGATTCAACTTCCAGCCATTGGGTCCTGTTAGGCTTTTGTCTGCTAGGTGGGAGACCCCCCCTCTCTTAGGAAATTTCTGTTCCCCAGTTAGGTCCTTATTGGCTGTAATCAAGTCATCCAGTAACCTTCTCTTTGATTAGCAAAACAGATTGAGCTCCGTGAGTCTCTCACTATGAGCCGTTTTCGAATCCTTTATCGTTCTCACGACTCTTCTCTGCCCCCTCTACAGTTTATCAGCAGCCTTGAGTCGTGGACGCCAGAACTGGGCACAATCTGCCAGTGGCTCCAGCCCTCTCCCCTGTAACCTGTCCCACTGGGGTGGGGATGTTATCCCAGCATACGTTCATAGCCCTTGGTAGGGTGACCAGACAGCAAGTGTGAAAAATCGGGATAGGGGGTGGGGGGTAATAGGAGCCTATATAAGAAAAAGACCCAAAAATCGGGACTGTCCCTATAAAATCGGGACATCTGGTCACCCTAGTCCTTGGCTATATCAGCCTCTGTTGCCAGCCCGTGCCCGGCCAGCCCCAGGGGGACCCAGGCTTGAAGGTCTGAGTGGTTCTGCCTAGCTTGTTCAGGCTTGTTTTTGTTGTTGTTTCTGCCCTGTCCTGTTGTGCAGGCACGTCCGTGATGCAGGTGATGGCATCAGATGCCGATGACCCCACGTACGGCAGCAGTGCCAGGGTGGTGTACAGTGTGCTGGAAGGAGAGCAGCACTTCACAGTGGACAGTAAAACAGGTGAGTGTCCCTCTGCTAGGCGGGGAGGAAGGGACTGACATGCCAGTCATCGGGCCGCTGTCAGCAGTTCTGACACGAGCTAGGAGCCTGGAATATTGGAGCCAGGATGAAGGGTAGAGGCTGCCTGTCTAGACAAGCATTTGTACCCCACTCACCACCTCGCTTTCAGAGCAGGCGAGGCCGAGTGAGCCACTGAGCTGGAGAGAGCCATGTGCCACCCTGCAACAGGTCCATGTTGTTCGGGGCAGACTGCAGTTGCCTTTCCTGCTTGTACTTACTGGCAGTAGCAACAGCTTCTGTGCACTGTACCCCGAGCAGTAATGTACCCTTAGGTGCCAAAAAATCTCAATGTGCGAGGTTTAAATCCCACCAGAGGGGCTTTACCAACGGCTGCATTGCTATCACCCTGGCTTTGATTAAAGGTAACACTTTAAATTAAGGATCAGTTTATAAATGTTCTATTAATATTTAATGAACGAACAGCGGAAGCTTCTCCATTTCTTAATAACTTAGAATAAAGCCCATTATAAAACGCATCTGTCATAAACCCCTAGCAGGTGGTGCTGTGACAAGCTGGTATAAAGTACCTTGTCCCCAGGAGCTAGTGGGGTGTGCATTGGCATCTCCTCCTGATGGTGGAAGTCCCATTAATGTTAATGGTTACGGAGGAGGGAAGAGGCTTCGTTGGCAATAGCAGATTTTAAGGTACAAACCCTGCAATCAAGTGCCAGGAATCCAACGAATGATAATAGAAGGGCTAGTGCCCTGGGCAGCCGCAGGTCATACAATATGGCTTGTTGTAGTTCCTGCAATACCTGATAATGAAGAACCCCTTTGTGCTTTGACCTGCTTCTCTGCTGTTTGTTGCACTCATGCACCCACAGGAGCAAACACACACTGGCACACCCCATGAACGAATGCGCGCACGCACTCACACACGCTGTTCAGATTCCATGTCTCTTCCTTGTCGCTCGTCACAAGTGGCTCTTTCTCCCTCCCTGTGGGAGACTCTCATGTGAGGGTGTGTGGAGGTATCGGAGCCAGTGTGCACGTGGGGGTGTGCTTGCACATTCAGGTACAGGATGTAAAAGGTGCATGGTGGTTTCTGGGTTTGCTTGGTGTTCTTGCCCATTTCCAGCTGAAGCATTCCGCAGCTGATCAGACTGTGAGCACCGCGGGGCAGAGAATGGGTCTCGTTATGGGTATGGCTTCACTGCAGCTGGGAAAGGTAATTCCCAGCTTGGGTGGATGCACAAGCACTAGCTCTGAGTGAGAAATAGCAGCATGGCCACAGTGGCTGGGTTAGCTGCCCAAGTGTGTAGCTAGGATCTCCGACGGGATTGTGCTTGGGTAGCTAGCTGGAGCCGCTGCAGCCACACTGCTATTTTTAGCATGTGTACGTCTATCTGATCTGAGAATTCTACATCCCACCTGCAGTGTAGCTGTACCCGATGTGTGTGGTTGTCCCTAGCACACCGTGTCCTACCATAATGCACACTATAAATACTACTACTTCCTGGGCATTCCCTGCTAACCAAGCTGAATGCTGCATCTCCAGTGTGCACGGATATTAGCGATCTGCTGCCTTGTGAAGTCTGTTCTGGGAACAGGGGAGTGGCTAAACAGCCAACGCTGAGGGCAAGGGCCATGTGGAGCATGGTACACACCTGGGCCCTGCTGGGTTAGAGCACGACCCAAAGTGTCCCCATGGTTTCCACTGGAATGTGGGGCTTGTGGCATGGTGAGTAGGGGAGGGAGCTCTGTGCCACACCTGAGAGCAGGCCCTGGTTTCTGGCTGTTAGCTGGAGGTAGACGGAGTGTGACTGATGGTTAGAACGCCACTCCGTTTTATAAGAACAACAACGCACCACTTGTGTCTTGTAGGAGCCAAGTTTCATCCACACGTTGAAACTGTGCCTGCAAGTTTTGTGTGCTCAGAGCAGGGCTCCACCCTGCATGTTCAAGGACGTAAGGCCTGTTAAAAAGGCACAGAGCTGGTGTTCTGCATGCACAAAACTTGCAGGTGCCATTTCCAACGACAGCTTTGAAAACATCCCATTTTGGTAGTGGCTGAAGTGGTGACTGTAGCGCGTGTAAAGCTTTCTAGGCGGCTTTGGGTGAAAGACTCGAACATGAGTCTGAGCAATTAGCATGTAAAGAGCCAGGCCTGTTGGCCATTCCATCTGGGTTCTGAGAGTGACTTTCTGGTATAGCGTCAAGGGTGTCTTTCCTCCTCGTCACGGCCACTGCACGTCGCTGCCAGCTCAGTGACCCGGGATGTTGTGCTGTGCTGGGTGGTGAATAGCCAGGGGACCTAGTAACAGCAAGGCACAATGGAGCAGGAGCAGCACAAGGAAACCCTGTTTAACAGCATGTCTGTACAGCGCTAGCGCTGCCTAGAATCGCTTCCCTAGCCGGTGCTCAGGGAGCCTTGTATTCTGATGTGGCTGTTTGTAAACAGCAATTTCAGCCATTGGCAGTGAGGTTTTAGCACCTTCTGTCCCTGAGGGCTCAGGCTGCGGGTTCTTGTCATTCTTAGTGCCAGGAGGGAGCATTTCCCTGCAAACAGAGAGGGGGTGGGGAGCTGCAGGCTGGCCATGGAGTGAGACTAGGGTGACCAGATGTTCCGATTTTGGGGTCTTTTTCTTATATAGGCTCCTATTACCCCCACCCCCAACCCCCAGTCCCGATTTTTCACATTTGCTGTCTGGTCACCTTAAGTGAGACAAACAGGCTGAGAAATGAAAGGGCCCATGCGGGGGACGAACCCAGGCTCTGTCCATCTGGACACAGAGGCCAGTGCAGATTGGTCTTTCCCTATCCCAGCTTCATGCACCCTGCCTCCACCTGACGGTAGTACAGACACCCCAGCGAGTGTTTTCCTGCTGCTGGGGGACAAGGGGGGGGGGGAGATAATTTCTTTGATTGGACAACTTCTGTTGGTGAGAGAGACACCCAGGAGCGCTGCACGAAGCTCTTCTGCAGGTCTGGGACAGAGACTCCAGCATCACAGCTAAACACAAGGGGGAACAGATTGTTTAGCATAAGTAGTCAACACATATTTCCAGGGACCATTCAGAGTGCAGTGGCCTATTAACACCCCTCCAGTCAGAGGGGGAAGGAGGGGAGTGTTGTTAGTGGGTTATAGATTGTTGTAATAGCCATAAATCCAGTGTCTGTGTTCAGTCCAGGGTTTTTAGTGTCTAGCAAAGTTATGAATTTAAGCACAGGCCCCTAAGTGGCTGGCAGGAAGAGTGGCCATTTCGTGCGCAGCTCTCCCTTCTGAATCTCCTTCATCGGCAGCAGCAGCCGTCCTGCGTCCCGGCAGCTCCCACCGCTCTGAGCGCCGTCCTGCATCCCTGCCGCGTGCTCAGGTCGGTGTAACGTATGTCGCTCGGGGTGGCTTATTCACACCCCTGAGCGATATAAGTTGCACAGGTATATGTGGTAGTGTGAACAAGTCCTTAGTGGCATCTTGCCCAGGTTTCCTGAGCCTGTCCCGTTTGCCCCCTTTCCCCCACAGGTCTCCTGAGCCAAGGGTTGGGGGATGGGTCCAAGCCTGCTGAACTAGTGAAATGCAGGTGATCCTGGGCCCTGCGAGGAGGATGTCAGAGGTCAGCTCAGGGGGAGGGACAGCAACACGGAACATAGCCTGGCATGTCTGCGTGTGCACATGTCCCTGTGCCCTGCTGGCTGCCTGCCCCACATATCTCCCACACACTGTCTTGTCCCCCGCTGCTGGCTCCTCTCTGCTCCTGGTCACCGATTCTCACCTACATTACAGTGATTTTTATCTCTTTGGGGGTGGGGGAATATCCAGCAACATGGACAGGAAATGAAGCTGGCGAGACTCTCTCAGCAATTGCATCATTTTCCTTCCATAGATAAAGGTTCTGCTCTCCAGGTATTTTCCATCATTTGAAAACATGTTTTGTCTTGTTGCTGTTAACCCTTGAAAGTCTGACCCTGAAGTGTATTTCCTCCATCAGTTGTGCACACTGCTGTGTTATTGTAGGGCTCCCGAGCGCTGGGCTGCCCTCGCTGCTGTGTTATTGTAGGGCTG